AACTTAAAGAAGTCCAGACGCTTTTCTTTGCAAGCTCCTTTGACTACGATGACCTGGATGACTGAGAACCTTCACAGACATATTACTTCTGAATGAATAGTTTGCAGTAACATTAACGGTAGAATGACGGCCTCAGAATTGCGGTGCCCATGGATCTGTAAGCTTGTGCGCTTGCTCTGATTCTCCTTTATGCTAAAAATACAACAAATATTCCTAAAAGTTACATCTGAGTCTCGTTTTCTTAATGCACGTAAGAATCCGATTGTACCACCAGCAGCCTTCTTTGCTTGCAGGCTAAAGATCACGTGACCCATGATGTAGGCTACCAAAGGAGCAGCATTAATGTAGCGGCTGTATGGGGGGGAAGAAAACTAATATTCCCCAGTTGCGATAAGGACATTAATTTTAGATGCTTGTCAGAGACTGTTATTATAGGTCTCCCTCACAGCCCTGCTGCTCTAAATACTCACCAGGAAACCAAATGTCTTTCAACAAATGCACTTTATGTGCTTCTGTTTGAGGAATTTGTTAGAAATTGCAGTGACCGTCTGCTTAAGATGGGACTTCTTACGAAGATGAAAGATGTCAGTGGTTTTTAAATAGTTGTCTTTGGTCTGAGTGCCACAGACAGGTGAGTCGATACAGAAACGAATGAACATGCCTTTTTCTACCTTCTTTTTTTCCCTGTAATATGTTGACAGTAATGAAAACGTTGATGTCGACTTCACCCTGTAATTTTCATCCCACTCGTGTGTCAAAGTGTGTGCAGCCATCGTTCATTAGGTGGTGCTGGGCACTATTTGTATTCAGAATGCCAATAAAAATGTACCACAATGTCTGGCAAACAATAACAAGCCCACAGAAAATTCCCAAAGCATTTTATCTATGAAGACATGGAGGCATACTCTCACTAAATGAAATTTGAAGATTAAATCGTGTGCAATCGTACTTTTCTACTTCAATTAAAAAAAGTGCTGATGCACGAGGTTGATGTGCAGCAAGAGGCAGAAATAGATTTATTATCTCAAAGGTGCCATGACTTTTCTGGAAAGAAATGCATCAGCCAGACAAATTAGACTCGCACCTCTGGATATTGACATTTGGCCTGCGCTTCGTGAAGGTTTAAATGAAATATTTATATCTGGTTTCCTAGGCGGGAACCTTCTCGTCCGACTTGCAGAACAGGATTAGGACCAGCTTGGACCGCAAGGTGGCTGCCAACCTGGACCTTTCGAAGCTGTCCATCAACAGAGCCACGGTCATCCTCAACTCCATCGGCAGCCTGAGCAAGATGAAGGGCAGCGCCTGGACCTTCAAGAGGAGCCACAGCCATGAGGGAACCGTGTCTGACCCCGGCACCTCGACCTCGCCTCCTCTTGCCGTGGGCTTTTCCTCCCTGCTCCCGCACTCCACTCCTCCGTCGTTCACCTCTGCAGCTTCGCTGCCTCAGACGAAGGCCCTCCCGCAGACCTCCAGGAGCAGGAGGAAGTCGGCTCACACGGTGCTGCTGGAGGACGACAGCTCAGACGAGCCCAGAAGTCGAGGAGGTAAAGCACAGCGGCGTGCTGCAGAATGACGCTGCTCACTTTCTGGAGCTTTTTGACATGAAGCTGCAGATTTTTACCATGAAATTTGCTTTTGGCAGCTTTCAAAAAGACTTAATATTAGTTTATGAAGTTGCTGCTTTCTTTTCAAGGATTTTACTTGCAAAAAAAAGGAGGGAAAAGAACAATTTAGTTTTGTGGTTAGCTTCTTTCTCCACTTACATTACCTTGCTCTCTTTCCGTTGATCTTAGTTTTGGCAGGAGTTGTGGAGGACGGACAGAGAGCGCGGGGGAAGAAGAGGCGGAGGCTCTACAAGTCTGAATCTGAAGGTTTCAGCTCGCCGCCTCCTCCTCAGCTGCAACCCAAAACTCACAGCGACATCCGCAGGCCGCTGGAGGCCAAGCCCTTCCCCGTCGGTATCCGGACCATCGGCAGCTTCCACGGAGCCATGACAAACAGCAGACTCAACGAGCACCTCTTCCAGGCATCCTTCACGAGCAAACAAGAGGCGGAGAAGGTGAACCGAGTCAAGACGGTGGTGCACGGAAACATCGCGGCCTTCCGCCAGCAGAAGCCCGCCCATTGCTCCCCGACCGCAGCGAGAGGGAGGCGGAGGGCCAACAGCTCCCCCGTATTCTCCCCG